AAGCACAAAATGTCTATAAATAAAAAAGAATTTTTTTAAAAAAAATAACTCAACAACTGCTTATACAAATTTTAAAAATCTTCTTATTTTAATTCTAAAAATCTCTAGAATTAAATAAAAAAACTTATTAGATTTATTTAGATCATTGTTATGATATTTTCAATCAAAGTTTAATAGTTTTTACAAAATTTGAGCAAGATGTCACAGCAATTACTTAGATAAATTTGATATATTTTTTTGTTAAATAATTATTAGGGTATCATTATTTAAGTTTTTAGAAAATTTAATTTTATAAATTTGATGCAAGTGGATAAGAAATATTGCAGTATTATTTTTTATTTTTTTATTTTTATTTATTTATTTTTATAGTCAAGATTAGCCTCTTTGACTTATCACTTTTATTAGATTGTAAGATTATATGGTGTCCTTTTCAAGAGCATCAGACAAGTTCATTCTGATGAAGGTATATTTTGCTATATCTGTGCCTTTTAAGCATCTATTTTAAGTAGTTTGCTTATTACTAGATTCTACACTAGATACCATACCTATAACCTACTATTATTTGATCTGAGTTTCTATGCCAATCTATTAACCTCATCTAGAACATGTAATACATTAATTAGTCCAAGTTCTAGGATCAATGTGTACTTATCTATAGGACTACCAGCATAGTTAATTAATTTAACCTCAAGTACATCACCTATTAGAGCTATCTGTTATCCATATTTAATATATAACCTAGTCTTTTTCAGATAAGTATTACTAGATAGGTTCTATACTTTTACAAGCAGACCACACCACCAATTCCTTCCACAAATAAGTTTACTGAATAGGTTTTAAACCTTTATACGCAGGCCATACCACCCAACCTTCTGTCTCTTGCAAAGTTTACCCAAACCTCAGTACTCTTTTTTCAAGACAATCTGGTACCTTTTCTTTCAGTACATGTTAGCTGGTCTCTTCATACTATCAATTCAGATAGCTCAGAAGAGATATCAGTCTCATGGTATCTGTTAATCTTTTTCCTTTGATCGATGCTCATACTAGCAGCCTAGTTGATAGAGCAACTTGTCAGATGCTTTTGCTGTATCCAGTTAACCAGCCTTGGATAAAGCCTATTCTAGTAGCCACTATCAAAATTCTATGCTATATCTCTACTTGTGTCTTGCCAAGAGGCATCTATTTTTCTGGTTCTTTAGATTAATGTGATCATAAAGACTTATTTTGGGTTTGCACTACTCAATGTCAGCTTGCATGCCTTTGTAAAATTTATATATTGCATAAATGCCTTATGATCTCCTAATTTTATAGGTGCCACCAAGATTACAGAGATCTTATTGTAACTAATTGTTGAAAGACAGTAGCCATTGTACAAGCAAAATATTTAAAATTTTATTGTTGGTAGATTTTGAACCTTCTACCTGCCAACATACTACTTGGAAATGCAACAACTTAACTACTTCACTAATTCACTACACCTTATATTGCAGTATTATATATTACAATCATATACTTAAGTAAATAAAATTATGTAAATAATAAGTGTTTAGATACTTTCTCCAATCAAAATAATCAATCACATGATTTATACAATTAATTTTATTGATTACTTATGTTACTTAAAAAATTTTATTAACAAATCTATATTTATTACTTTTAATAATAAAACTATTAAAGCAAAAAAATCTACTGATACAATCAGATATCTTGGTATTTACTTTAATGGAATAAATTTTATTCAAACTTCAATAGACAAAATATTAAACAAAACAAATAATTTTATCAAAATTATATAATATAAAAAACTTCTATTTATTCAAATATCTTAACTGTTTAATCCTATTCTTGCACTATTTTTAGAATTTCTTACAAATTAATTCTCTTACAAACTAAAAAATTACTTAGCTCTTTAGTACTATTACTAAACAAATAAAAGGAACTTTTAAGCTTTTACTTAATACTAATAATGATATTCTTACAAATTCTTAGCTTTTAAATATCTCTACTTTTATAAACTTCTTATTTATACTAGTTATAATATAATCAAAAAGACTATTAATTTATCTCTTCTTCTAAAATAAATATTTGAACTTCAAATAAAAGAATAATTTTAGAAAATTTAGTAATTACAATCTTTATATATATAATTTATTAATATAAACAAAAATTTTAAATTTTACTAATCTTTTTCTCTTATCTCACATTTCTTAATATAATATTAATTTTAATAATTTAATTAACAATACAAATAACTTTTTAAATAATTATGAACTTAACTCAATTTACAAATTTATTTTTCTAAATTGCAAACTATCAACTATCAAAAGTCTTAAAAACAATCAAATTCTCTATATCAAATAACTTTTATATCTGATAATTAATATTTTTTACCTTAGAACAATATATATCTTTGGATAAAAAAATCATCTAGAGGTCCATTTCTCTCATAGTGTAAATATATAAAAAACCAAACAACTAATAATACTATAGTCATCAATTCAACTTGAAAATATTAATCTATTCACTAATACACTTATACTAATTTCAATACTAACTAACTATTTCTAAAAAAACAACTAAACAATTCTAACTAATGCATGCAATTTACAAATAGAAAAATTATTTCTACTACACAAAATAACTTTCTCTTTGAAAACTATACTATTCTTCAAAAAACTTTAAACATTATTATTCTTCAATCTTCTTTGCAATTTTCTTTTCTTCAACTATTAATATTTTTTATAAAAGTCAAAAAGAAAATCAATTTATAAACTTTCTATTGACTACTAAGAAATACTATTACTATACAAATCTTTACTTCTCTTTGTCAACCTACTACTCTGAAAATATTTGTATCTAAATACAAAATCTAAATATTGAATAAATAACTAATTCTATTATTACTTTAGTATAACAAACAAAGCTTATTAATATTTTTAACAGATCTTACTAGGTTCACTAGAAAATCTTAATTTTTATATAGATACTTCAATTAAAAAATACTAACAGCCAATCTCAAAAACTAATATTAGTTGAATTTTAAAAAACAATAGAAAAATTACATTCTTTGTAAGCATCTTAAATGCTACTAAGCTGAATTGGCACCAATTATTTTTATAATTCTTTTAATACTGCAAAATTTATATATCTATATTTACTTGACAACTTTCAATGTTCCAAATTCTTAAAAGCTACTATATTATCACTAAATATAAATCATAATTAAAAACTAGAATTATTTACACATTATCAACAATCTTCTTCAAAAGAAAAAAATATTTTTTACTATATACAAAATTAAAGTACACTCAAAAAATAGTTTAAATTGAAATGCAAATATTCTTGCCAAAGAGGTGAAAACAGATCAAAAATTAAAGTTATTCTAAAATACCTTCTAACTATTTTTGTTTTATAGTACAGTCAACTCTTTCTATAATGAACTGATCGTTCTGAAAGAAAATAAAAGTTTGCTATAGAAAATAACTATGGTTTCTTATGGACCATTGCATTTTCTATATCAAACTATTATAAAAATTTTAAAATTTTGAGTTCGTTATATCCAGAATTCATTTTATAGAGGTTTATTATATCCAAAGTCAACTGTACTATATTTCACTTACTTCACAAACACACAAATTCACTAAAAACATAATTTTTATTAAAACTTTTAATAAATTTCTTCAACTTAAAAATATTTATAATATTCCTTAATTTAATATTAAAACCTTTATAACTATCTTAAACTCCTACAATTACAAACCCAATCTTTTTTCTCTATATATTAAAGTTCTATTAAACAACCTACCTATAATGTCTAATTTTCATCTCTACTATCCTCATCTTTATCTAATTTCAAACTGCATTAGATGCAATCAATATGAAGATATCTTACACCTGCTAAATTGCTCTTAAGCACCCTTTAACTCTTACCAAATTCTTAATCAGTATATAATATAAACAATAACAGAACTCAAAATTTATAATGCAAATTCTTCAATAATTACCAACATATTACTCAACACAAATACTCAAAATAAACATTTTCAACATATTCTTTTCTTTATTCAAGAAACAATTTCCCATAATATTATAGATTAGTTATAACCAATTCTTAACAAGAATACTATCAACTTCTGTCTTAACCTATCTAATGCTCTTTTTATTTGTTTAACTCAAATATCTAAAAATTAAAAATCAATTTCAATATGACTGAGAAGTCTCAAAAATATTACATCTAAATCCAAACATATCAAATCCTCCTTGCTAAATATTATCTTTAGGGATCCTACAACAATTTATAATTAGAATATTGATTTATTTATTCAAAAATGGCATATCCAAAACTTTTCTATTTATTTATATTTATATTAACTTTATCTCTAACCCTAGACCTTCTCTTTCCCTTTCTATAACTAATGGTAGTTTGACTTAAATTAGTTTTTAAATAGAAAATTAAGAGATGATTTGCAACACTTAGATGGTTATACAAGATATAATATATAGGTTAAATTAATATCATCCTGATACAATCAGTAAACTAATCTTATCCTGTATATAGCAAATTCAAAATATAAAAAAAATAAATAAAAAATAAATTTAAAAGATATAGATTTAATAAAATTTATAATTTTATTTTTAGTTTAACAGCTTGCTTATTTAGCTTTGTATAAATTTTAAAAAGTGCCCATAATAATATAGGAGGACACTGTATAATTTTTTTATTACTACATTTCAAAACTAATAAATTGTATTCTATCACTATTGTATTTTATTTACTATTGTAGTCTTTTGAGAATTTCAGAAAAACTAAGAATTGACTAAATTTATTTCATGAAATTCCAACGCTTATTAAAAGAGCCTATTTTGACAATTTTCAAAAATTGTTTATTTGATAAATATTCAACTATAAGTACAGAAGCTAATTATATAAAATGATCCACAAAATGATAATATGAAACTACTCATATTATTGCAATTCTGTTAAGCTTAATCGTTATTTATTAAGGAATGTTTTTCATTTTACGATAATCTTCAGATTCATTATAGCTAAGAAATATTTGTGTATTTTCAGTAAGCGTAATTTGTTTACCTAGAAGCGGGGTGATTAAAAGGTCAAATTGAGCGTTTTCATTTTCATTTTCGTTTGAGATTTTGACATAAGTGGGTTGTTCATCTTAGTAGTTAAAGAGATCAAATTACGGAATTAAGTTTATAGTGTTAAAAAGTAGGATGAATTATTAAGAATCGTAGATGCTCTCGTAAATACGAGGTCAAACCATTTTAGATAGCAGATAGAGTTCAATAGTTTCAGAACTAGGTGAGGGAATATTTGATTCCTTATTGTTAATTTCGATTAAGGATTGTACGCATTTAAGTACATTAGCGAATTCTTTGACTTTGAAATGAGATCCTGCTTTCCTTGCGGAGGTAGCGAATGGAGGAAGTCAGTGTAAGATTTATAATAATGATTGTAATCTTTACGTAAAAAACGGAATAATAGAAATATATTGTGAGTATAGTTTCTTTGAATAATATAGGTCCCAAAGTTTTTGAAATTGTGCAGGTCGGATTTTGTGATTCTTAGATAGTCTGTGAAGAATGTGGCTTTTTGTTGTAGGTTTATGTAATTAAGAAAAGAGAAAGCTGGCAAGTTAATTAGACTTGATTGGTATAAGTCGGATTTGTTAAAATATGATTTTAGCGACAGAGTTAGAGTTTCATCATAATTGTAGTATAAACTGTAGTTGTGTAGGTCGTTTCATGTGTTTTATATTCTTTCGTAGTATCACGATTAATCAAGCTTCTTCGTTCGTTTTCAATGGATTTTATTAAAATTTTAACGTTAGATTCATATTGATGAGCACCGATAGCTAGTAGGAATAAAAAAGACGAACGAATTATCTGAATATCCAAATATCTGTTAAATTTAAATAGGAAACGGCATCCCTAGATAGGGGAACCGTCACATCATTTGTAGATCCGTTACAATTCATAAAATTTTTTGTGTTCTCAAATGAAAATCCAGAAGTCTAAAAATAGGTCGCTTATGAATTTTATAAGTGATCTATCTTGAGATTTTCGCGCCGTGTTTTAATAAGATCGGTTGAATTAGCTATCTGTACTTAGTTGTAGCCCAACAATAAATGAATTTTTAAATTTCTACCCATAAATGTAAACCCCCTCCAATAGTTTATAATATAATTTGGATGGTGTTTATTTTTTTGGTAAATTGAACATTCTGGTAGATAAAGAGAAAGGCAAAAAATTATTATGCATCTGTGAATAAAAACACATTAATTTGAATCAAATTAATTGGGAACTTTAATATATTTTTAATAACTCTTTTTGTGCTTTGTTTGGATATAAAAACTTGTTATAATTCAGGAAATAATGACTTTATGATAATTATCCTACAATTTTGGGGAAAAATATGAAATAAAATACATAATTACTGGCCTATAGTCTTTAACAGAACACAACAATAAACTACTTTGTAAAATATTTAATTGGTTAAATCAGATGTCAAGGAAAAAAATTTGTATAGTTCATAATTAACAAGAAATATAAGGAGATATAGCATCAAAATATTTAGGAACTTCTATTCCTAATGCCTCAAGAATTATTACTGTGCAATCCATATTAAACAATTTACCATTTTCTCTTCCACTTGTAATATCAGAATTTGAGTTAGCCCCTGTAAAATAAACAGCCATAAATACTTCCATCTCTTCCGGGGTACCCCTTTCTTCAACAAATGTCGTTTGTCGATTGTCTCAAATCCTACCAAACATATCGATAAACTCAATGGTATGCGCGATGATGAATATATTCAATTAGCAAAATCTTCATGATACAGCTTCCCAAAACTTAACTTGCGTCGATAATAAAAACAAAGCACTTGAGTTATTCATCAAATGCATTCATTTCAACAATCTATACGTGATGGCGTTACGAGCCAAAGACAATGCTACAGTCAAATAACAATACAATACGTACTTTTTTATCAATTACTTACAGTATTTTTCTAATCACATGCAGTCGTAGTCAATATGTAAGCTTGAGTTTTACATTAGTAAATTTTTTAAAAAGTTTGTGTTATTTTATTGTTCATTTATATTATTATTATAATGTAAACGTAATGTAAAATTTAAACTTAATCAAATAAATCCTAAATTTCAAATTTCACAGAGATGTGACCGCTATCTATTGGATATCCAAATAATAGTACCGCATCTGTCCGGTAAAAAATGCAAAAAATAAAAGCGAAGCATATTTGTACATATAAGTTAAAGATTATTGCTTAATATAATCATAAGATTAAATGATTTCACTTCGAGATAGTAACTGTTATTCATTGAATATCTAAATCCTATAGATGTAAACCCTTCATCAGCAAGTTTGTTTTTTATAAAATCTATATAGATTTACAAGTTTATATAAATTTTATATAAAACATTATATAAAAGTTTTATATAATAATATTTATGTAATATTTTTATAAAATTTATATAGAAATTTATATATATTTATATAAATATAATGTTATAAAAAAAATTATATAACTTTTATATATTAACAAATTCTAAATAAAATTTTTATATAAATTTTAGATAATTATAAATTTTATATAAAGATATTATATATAAAATTTATATAATAATTATTATATATAACTATATTTAAACTTTATATAATTTGTATATATTTATAGATTGTAAGTAAAATTTTTATATAAATTTTAAATAACTATAAATTATATATATAAATATTATATATAAAAGTTATATAATAGTTACTATATATATAATTTATACAATTTTTATATATTTATAAAATTATATACTATAATTATATAACTTTTATATATTAAATAAATTATAAATAAAATTTTTGTATAAATTTTAAATAATTTTAAATTTAATAAAAAAATATAGGCGAATCTATTTGTCACCGACAGTGACAGTACCAGGTTGCAATTGGCTAATTACATCATAGGATCAGGTGTAATGTTTGTGTAATCTAAAAACGAAGAAAACATTGAAATTTTTCAAAAATTTGCTATAGCTCAAAATTTTACCTATGAAACCATCTTTTATGTTCTAATAAAAAAAATTCTTTGCAAAATTTTACTATAGCATCTATTCTACTCCCAACCTTAATTCAACTCTCACCCTAACCCTAATGACAATTAACTTTAGCGATTGTTTTGATTCCATAACATGATCTGGTTAGTCAATTGCAATCCGGTGACTGTTACTGTTAGCGACAACCATATAAAATTTATATAATTATTATGATTTATAGATATATATACAAATTATTTATCTTTATATAAGTTTTATAAAATAATTATTTATATAAAATTAAGGGCGTTGTTTTAGAGCGACCCGTCGCCATGGTGACCCCGTGATTGATCAATAAAAATCGATCACATGAATCACGTGTTCGATCAGCAAATCGATCAAACACATGATTCATGTGACCAATTTTTATTAGTTAACTAAGTACACTTATAATTTTTATTAAAAAAAAAATACAAAATAATTTTTATATCGAACCCACCCACCCACTTTTTAAAACATAACGAAGACAAATTCACACAAAAGTTCACCAACAAAAGTCTACTAACACAGCTCCAAAATGACAGCTCCAAAAATGACGACTCCAAGGACGATTCCAATGAAATAAGTCTAAAAAAAAAAAAACAGTTAAATGGGAAAAGAAAAAAAAAAAAAACAGCACAAAAAGAAAAAAAAACCAAAATTTACCTCATAGCGGCAGAATTCATTCACTGCAACGATCATTCCACAGCGGCAAAAATTATAACGCCAACAACGACACCAACTGCAGCACCAGTGAAACCAGCAAGAGAAAGACAGACCAGAGAAACTAACAAGAAACAGGCAGACCAACGAAATCAACAAGATACAAACAGATCAGCGAAATTAACAAAAGACAAATAAACCAGCAAAACCGGAAAGAAAAAAAAGTGGTTAGTAATTATATAATAAAAAAAAAAAAAAAAAAAACAAAAAAAAAATACTTATCGCCAGCGAAACCAACAAAAGACAAACCAACGAAACCAACAAGAGAGAACCAAACCAGCGAGACCAACAAGAGACAGACCAGTGAAACAAGCAAAAGAGAGACAAACCAAAGAAACTAACAAAAAACAGGCAGACCAATGAATCCAACAAGATACAAACAGATCAGCAAAATCAACAAAAGACAGACAACCAAAAAGAAAAAAAAAGTTGCTTAGTCCATTATATAATAAAAAAATACTTATCACCAGTGAAACTAACAAGAGACAGACCAACAAAACCAACAAGAGAGAACCAGACCAGCGAGACCAACAAGAGACAGACCAGCGAAACAAGAAAGAGAGAGACAGACCAAAGAAACTAACAAGAAACAGGCAGACCAATGAATCCAACAAGATACAAACAGATCAGCGAAATCAACAAAAGACAGACAATCAGAAAGAAAAAAAAAGTTGGTTAGTCCATTATATAATAATAAAAAAAAATAAATAAATAAAAAAATACTTATCGCCAGTGAAACCAACAAGAGACAGACCAACGAAACCAACAAGAAAGAACCAGACCAGCGAGATCAACAAGAGACAGACCAGCGAAACAAGCAAGAGAGAGACAGACCAAAAAAACTAACAAGAAACAGGCAGACCAACGAATTTAACAAGATATAAACAGATTAGCAAAACCAACAAAAGACAGACAACCAGAAAGAAAAAAAAAGTTGGTTAGTCCATTATATAATAAAAAAAAAAAAAAAAAAAAAAAAAAAAATACTTATTGCCAGCGAAACTAACAAGAAACAGACCAATGAAACCAACAAGAGAGAACCAGACCAGTGAGACCAACAAGAGACAGATCAGCGAAACAAGCAAGAGAGAGACAGATCAAAAAAACCAACAAAAAACAGGCAAACTAACGAATCCAACAAGATACAAACAGATCAGCGAAACCAACAAAAGACAGACAACTGGAATGAAAAAAAAAGTTGGTTAGTCCATTATATAATTAAAAAAAAAAAGAAAAAAAAAAATTACTTATCTCTAGCAAAACTAACAAAAGACAGACCAACGAAACCAACAAGAAAGAATCAGACCAGTGAGACCAACAAGAGACAGACCAGCAAAACAAGCAAGAGAGAGAGACCAAAGAAACCAACAAGAAACAGGCAGACCAACGAATCCAACAAGATACAAACAGATCAGTGAAACCAACAAAAGACAGACAATCGGAAAGAAAAAAAAAGTTGGTTAGTCCATTATATAATTAAAAAAAAAAAGAAAAAAAAAAAAATACTTATCGCCAGCGAAACTAACAAGAAACAGACCAACGAAACTAACAAGAGAGAACCAGACCAGCGAGATCAACAAGAGACAGACCAGTGAAACAAGCAAGAGAGAAACAGATTAAAGAAACCAACAAGAAACAGGCAGACCAACGAATCCAACAAGATACAAACAGATCAGTGAAACCAACAAAAGACAGACAACCAAAAAGAAAAAAAAAGTTGGTTAGTCCATTATATAATAAAAAAAAAAAAAAAAAAAAAAAAAAAATACTTATCGCCAGTGAAACTAACAAGAGACAGACCAACGAAACCAACAAGAGAGAGCCAGACAAACGAGACCAATAAGAAACAGACTAGTGAAACCAGCAAGAAAGAGACGAAACCAACAAGAAAACCGACGACGCGAAGAAAAAAAATAAATAATGATTATCAGATGATGATCATTGTTTATATATGATCGCCAATCTCAAAATGATTGGCCGATCATATAGGGATCGCTGTGCAACAGGTCGCTAATTTATTTTTGCCTAAAATTAATTACTAATACTTATTTAAGCTTTATTAGATTTCAGAATAGATATTATTAATATCTGATAGTTATATTGAATTTTTGTTTGCATTTAAAAGATTTAAAAATATTTAGTGATAAGAATCATATTCTGCTTTTGATATTAAGTGTTATATTTAAAATTAGAAGCGCTTACACTGTTATCAATTAATATTTTCGATTAGAGAAGATAATAACTAATAGTCAGCTTTCTGAATAAGAAATGTTGTCATGCATAAACAGAATGTGTAAGTATGCAGGAGTAAATTTTGCTCTTTTCATTTTAATTAGATTGACAAATTTGTAACTTCTTTGAATCCTGTGAGTCTCATAATAACAATATAGATAATTGCCAAAGTTCGTTATATTTTGTGGAACTCATTTCATAAGTACTTTTATTATTTTTGTTATTCGCATGTGAGTTATGAAGTGGAGATGAATAATTATTTGGTATTATGAAAACCAGAACAGGCTTGAGTGGGCCAGACAGTCGTTACAATTATTAAATAAGTTCTATAAAATGTAATGAACTTAGGTAACTGCATATATTGTAATCATGAGACTCCCTGGATCCACAAAAAATCACAAATTGACCAAATCTATTAAAATTGAAAAGAGCGATAACTATAAACTAAAATTTAAAAAAAAAAAAAAAATTAATATAACTATAAATAGTTGTATGACACAGTCATAACAAACCAGGAATGGATGTGCATAATTAAAAATAGCGATAGCGATTGTATTCATATAAATTACCTGATAAACAGTATCAACTCCAATTTTCTATATAATGATAGTGTATAAGCCAATAGTGCATTAAAAAATAAAGATCTAAAATTCATAATAACGATATTG